CAACTCACGAACTACTCCCACGCCCTCCGCGCCAACAGAGCGCGCGTGAGCGCGCGTGAGCGCGCGTCGCTCCCCAAACAGCTCCGGAGCACGACGGCGCACCTCCAACAGCTCGCGAGCCCCCTTCGCGCCCTCAAACTGCTTCCGATGCCGCGCGCGCCCGTTTTGCAAGCACTTTAGAGCCCCTAAGATCGCGAACCCTACGGCCTCCAGCCCTCAAAATCGACATACCCTCCGAGTATCGAATTCTACCCTATGTCTCGAAACTAGCCTCGTAGCTACTACAGAGTGGAGTGCTGGAACACCCTCCCCAGAGAGAGCGAAAAGCGTTTTTCTCCTCCTTACCGCACAACCTTCCGAAATGACAAGAATGACAAAAATGACAAGCTCCCGGCCGGCCGAAAAAAAATAAATAATTAAATAATTAATTAATTGGCTCCTCCGAGTAGAGGCCAAAGGAATGACAAGAATGACAAAGATGAAAAGCTCCCGAAAAAAAATAAAAAATCAAATAATTAATTAATTGGCTCCTCCGGGTAGAGGCCAAACGAATGACAAAAATGACAAAAATGACAAGCTCCCGGTCGGCCGAAAAAAATAAATAATTAATTAATTCCTGGCCTCGATGCCTGGAAGATCGAAGTTCCCGTGAGGTTCCCGTGTGAGGTTCTCGCGAACTTCGAGAACTTCGAAGTCCGCATGAAGTTCTCGAAACGCTACCGAATTGATTAACTAATTAATTATTTTCCAGCGGTTCCGTACCTTGTCATTTTTGTCATTCTTGTCATTTCGAGAAGTTCTGCGGTAAAGCTTCTTCCGGAGTCATTTTGCTCCCCAAAAAAGCATCCGAAGTGCAAGGTCGGAATTCCGACTTTGCAAGGTCGGAAATCCGACCTTGCTCCAAAAGGCAGAACAAGTGCCAAAAACGAGTCCGCCGCCGTCACCGCCGTCTATCCTACTCTAATCTATCCTAGTGACCAAGTGGGGCACGCTGAGCCGGGGCCAGAGTCGAGAAACCTCGCGCGGGGGGAGGCTCTGGTTTCGGTGCGGCGGTCCCAGCTGGAGGTGGTGCCTGACTGGACAAAGCTCGATTGGCGGGTCATCAGGAACCGCCAGCCACCGATGAAGCTCGCGCCGGTCCGCGAGGCACCGGGGAGGCGTCCAGGGAATGGGGCGCCTCCGAAGCCCCGCCGATACCCGCTCAGTCCCTCCGAGGAAGCCTGTCGAAGAACGGGATTGCTGCCCGTTTTTTTGCAGCAATGCTTCAACTTTTTCAACAAAAAAGGTAAAGTCACAACAACTCACACTCAGTCCATTTTTCATCAAAAACGGGCCACTGCCACAACTCGTCAAATTTGACGAATGATGGCAGTGCCACTACAGGACGCTCAAAAGCTCGCTATTGGTGGCGAAGGAGCACCCCATGTACGGATGCTTGAATGTGAAGTGTGGACTCTCCACATCATACAGCCAAACCCGCCCTCTCAGGGTCAGGCCCTGAACCGAAGCAGACGTAATCGCGCTGCAAAGCCGGTGTGCTTCAGCAGCTCCGGGCCCGCGAAGGACTGCCCGCTCTCCAGGCGGACGACGTCCCCCTCCACGGCTTCCACGGTCAGGAAGGTGCCCTTCTGAACTTTGCCGCCAGCCCCGATCAATCGCAGTCCCGGCCAGACCCTCATGGTCTGCGTCGGCACCGCGCCGCGAGCCTCATATTGGACCATAGGGCGTCGGGAGTCGCTTCGCATGGGAGATGACGAGGTCATGTCGGGCTCCCCGCGAAGCGGCTTCGGGCAGCGGGACCTGCTCCGGCTCCTCGACTCTCAGCCAAGTCAAGAACTCGAACATCCGCTCGTCGAAGCGCCAGCGCTCCGAGAGCTCGTGGCACCAGCCCCCCGCCAGATCGTGCAGATCGTGCAGCAGCTGCAGCTCTTTGCAGACCTCCGCGCCCGCGAAGCTATCCAAGACAGCGGGCAGCTGCCGAAGTCCCCGAGCAGCAGAAAGCGAATCTTCTTGTTCAATATTCAGACAAGCTATATCAGCCCACAAGGGAGTATCTAACTGAGTGACTCTTTCTATGGCCCCGAGCTGGTCCAGGACGAGGGCAACTACGTCGTTACCACGGACCTGGGGGACGAGTTTCGGGGACTCGAGGCGGCGCTGCGCGGAGGCGTGGTGCACCGCCACAAGCACCCCTCGGACCGCAATGCGACCGCGGTGGTAGATCGGGCAATTCAGACGCTCAAGAAGGACCTGGCGGGCAAGGTGGCCCGGGAGGGCGGCGGGTGGGGCGCATGTGGACGAAGCGGCGGAGGCGTACAACGCCCGCCCGCATGCGGCGGTCACGGTGGCCCCGCAAAACGCCAAGATAACGCGGCCAAATTCAAGCACAACGATGAGCTGACGAGGAGCGGCGGTTGGAGGAGGCGGGGGGGTTCCGGGCCCCCACCAATGCGGCGAGGAGCTTCCCCCAGTACGGCCACGCCAAGGACATGGAGTCCTGCGATTCGATGACGGCGCGGGCCACGGACGGCTCGGAGACGCTGTTGAAGCATGCGCTCCCGGTGCCCCGCGCATCCGCGGAGCCTACGGCGCGGCTGACTCGCCGAGCGGAGCGAGCGGTGCGGCAGCTGCGGGACTTCAATCCCGGACCCACGGCGCCGCCGTGACAGCTTTGGACTCCACCCCGAAGGAGACAATTAATTAATTATGAACTATTTTTGGGGGCCCCCGGAGACTTGTCATTCTTGTCATTTCGAGAAGTTGTGCGGTAAGGCACAGAAGGGGACACGATTCACGGCTTTTGACGCCTTACCGCCGAGCTTCTCGAAATGACAAAAATGACGAAGAATGACAAGTCTCCGGGGGGCCCGCACAAAAATAGATAATTAATTAATTATGGCCTCTATTCCCGGGAAGTCGCATCCGCCGTGACAGCTTTGGACTCCACCCCGAGGAGCCAATTAATTATTTATTTTGTGTGTTTTTTTTGGGGGGCCCCGGAGACTTGTCATTCTTTTCATTTCGAGAAGTCCTCCGGCAAGGCCCTGAAGCGGACACGATTCGCGGCGTTTTGGAGCCTTACCTCAGGGCTTCCCAAGATGACAAGAATGACAAAAACGACAAGTCTCCGAGCCGGCCAAAAAAAAATAATTATTTGATTATGGCCTCGATACCCGGCAGGTCACAGCGAGGCTTTTGGACTCCACCCCGAGGAGCCAATTAATTATTTACTTAATTAATTATTTTTCGAGCCCCCCTGAGACTTGTCATTTTTGTCATTCTTGTCATCTCGGAAAGTCCTCCCGTAAGGCCCTGAAGCGGACACGATTCGCGGCGTTTTGGAGCCTTACCGCATAGCGTCTCCAAATGACAAGAATGACAAAAATGACAAGTCTCTGGGTGGCTCCAAAAATTAATAATTAAATAATTAATTAATTCCTCGGCCTCGATGCCCGGGAAGTCGTAGCGCGACTTTTGGACTCCACCCCGAGGAGCCAATTATTTAATTAATTATTTCATAAATTATTTTTGGAGCCGCCCGGACCTTGTCATTCTTGTCATTCCTGTCAGCTCGGAACGCTTGTGCGGAAAGGCGCACAAACGGGCACAATCGGCAGGTTTTTTTGGGCCTTGCGGAAGAGCATCTCGAGCTGACAGGAATGACAAGAATGACAAGCTCCGGCCGGCCTGGAAAATAAATAAATAAATAATTAAGTAATTAATCCCCCTGGCCTCTGTTCCCGGGAAGTCGCAGGGCACTCGCACAACACTCAGACTCGCAGGGCGACCTAGTAGGGCTTAGGGGGTTCTAGGGGTTCGGGCGCTGGGGCTCGGGAGTTAGGGGCAACCAAGACGTGCAGGGCACTCGCACAACACTCGCAGGGCGGGCTAGCAGGGCTTAGGGGGTTCTAGGGGTTCGGGCTTTGGGGTTCGGGAGTTAGGGACAAGCGGGGAACCCAACATCCACTCTGCGGCCACAACGACAGCTTCTCCTCGGATGGACCTGTGCAACAGCTGCTTCGAAAAAACGACTACACAGGCGATGACACTCCTTCATGGCCTCGTCCTCGGCATCGGGTCCAGCCCGCCCCCCCCGGCCAAGGAAAAAAACAAAGAACCACTGACCGACAAGCACGAACACACACACACACACACACACACACACAAACACGCACTCACTCAGCCCTCAAGCATGCTGCGCGCACAGATGCAGTCACTTGCACTCCACGGCCTTCGGTGGTTTTTTGTGCCACCCTTCTCGATGCTGTGCAACGTCGGCCGGTCGGCCCCGTCCCCGCATCCCCTGTGCATCGGGATCTTCCAAGACTGGCCAGACCGGGCGCTAGGTTTCCGGTCGCCCTGCTTGCCCCACTCGCGCGGTTTTCCACGCATTTAGGGTTTCCAAACAGAGATTGTTTACAAATTTGAAATATTGCTTGTAAGGCAAACTTAAAGGGTTGGTTTAAATGCATGTATGTGTTGAACCGGCTCTGACCCTAAGTCGCCTAGGCATCTAGATACGATGCTGTCTGACTCTAAGTAACCCAAACAATTGTGCAAGGAGGGTGGACCATCCGGGCTCATCCGTTGCTCACGGCGGCGGTCGACTGCGTCGGCTCCTTGCCACCGCAGGGCACTCACAGGGCAGCCTAGTTAAGGTTCAGGGTTCTGGAGGATTCGGGCGCTGAGGGGCGGGACTTAGGGATAACCGGAGACCTGCACGACACGAGAGCTTAATCCAAACGTGGTGTGGCCAGGAATTAGTGGCATCTTTGCTGCAGTCATCTAGTTCACTACAGCAGTGACCCAGATCGCTACTGCTGCCGATCTAATCGCGCCACTTGCAGCAAAACTGACCACACCGAAGACTGGCATGATGCACATCGCAAACCTTGACATGTGAAACCGAGAGAGACCGTGCAAAAACATGTGCAGAGCTAGATGGTGCCTGCACAGCACTGATTCTCCGATTTCCTTCACAAATCACATCGCCCGGCCTTTCAAGTTCGCTGCCACGGCAAAAAGCCGTAGCAGTCTAGCCTAGCAGTGATGCCGTCATGTGGAAGTCAAATGGCTGATCACAGAGCCGAGGGTTGGGCCTGGTGGTGTCCCGACGCAGGACTTCCGATTCGTCTTTGATGCGTCGCCACGCTCCAGCCTGCCAGAATCGGAGGCTAGGAAGGAGCCAACAAAACAGCAGTCTGGGGCTCCGCGCTTCTTTTGAGTACAGGTAGATGTCGATTTGATCATGATCAACGTCTCGTAAGGCATTAGACTTCGTCTGCTTGATGGCCTCGTGACTTGGGCAAATGTCGGGACAGGCAGCAAAAGGAAGCATGCCGAGGCCGGGGCTTTCTTCAAGTGGTCCACATCATTGAGGCGCGGGTAGTCCTGCTGAAATGCAGCCACCAAATTCCACTTCACATGGCACGGCGACGATGGCCTGAGGGGACTCCACTTTGAACGCCGGCTCGAGCTCATCCTCGCCCTCAGGGTCTTGACGAGACCTTATCTGCGCAGAGGCGCTGCTCCCAAAACGACCGGCAATCGGAATCCTCCTTGGGCCTCAGCTTGGCGGTGATCGTCCCATCCTGCGCGGCGAGTGGTGTCGAAACTCCCAGCCCCGAACCGCCTCCCGAAGCCCCTCCCCGACGTGTCATGCTCCGCCCCTGCCGACGCTCAGAAACACTCCAGCAATCCGGAGCCCCTCCAAGCCCGGCCAAGAACTCCACGACAGGGCTAAAACCGCGTGCCCTCACAACGCTGTCCTGGTTCCGGGCCAGCTCCCGCACCCAGACGACGGATGAGGAGGTCGTGCCTCACAAAACGCCAAAGGCTGGTATCTTTAATCCTCCAGCCTACATGGTCACAATGATGTGGCCTGGATTGATGGACTTCAGCTTCTGCGCGGAACTGATCTCAAAGACTGGCTCTTCATCCTTAAAGGCAAAGCTCCTGGCAACTCCATCACACGGGATGTAGAAATCCACAACTGTGTCAATGTTGTTGTCAACTTGACGCTTGATGTAGACGTTGTAGCCTGTGTGGGCTCCATTAGCTGCAAGTCCAACAATCTCAATACCGCCTCGTGTGCTCTGCACACGTCTTTTGACAGCGTCTCTTTCTTCCCAACCGCCAATAATCACCAGGCACTTTCGAGTGGCATTGTGATAATTCTTTAAGGATGCGTTGTCAAAACGCCCGCGGCGGCTATCAACCTCTTTCGGGGAACGAGAAACCATGACCGCTTCCAACGCAATCGTTGCGCGGTCCGCCAGCACAACATAAACATCGACCTTCCCTTCATTCCCGTCCTCTACAGACCCTGCTGAAAAACCCAAGCGTTGCAGTATCTGATTGATGGCAGTGGTGTAATGCACTTCAAAAGGAGCCCCTCGCTTCGAAAAAATACTCTGCACTTGTGAATCTTGCAGGATGACACCGCCAACCACTTGTGCAAAATGCAGGTATGGCAGCGCTCTCAACAACAGATCGGTGCCTGACGACACCTCCAGGCTTACGTCCACTTCCAGATTTCGCGTCTTCTTCAACACGCAGCGATAATAAGAAGCCAACAAGTGAGTGGAAACGCCATATCTGGCTCCTGCCGCACTCCAGTCATATTGCACGAACTCGTCGGCATTGCTTTCAGCAACTGGCAGTAGGAAACCATGGACTGTGAGATTGCGACGCAGTTCTGGATCTAAATTGCTGGTAGCACCACTGCATAAAATCTCGAGCATCTGTTGGGGGATATTCGCTAGATTTGCATAATGTCCGTTGACGCGGATTGCACGAGTTCCTGCCAGCCATCCCAGAAAGCTGTTGGGGATACTCCAATCTTCATCTGCCCATGCCAGCTTGACTTCGCCGTAAGCTTGTTCGACTGTCCACTGCGCACAGGCGCCTCTCTGCTGCCTCTGCTTCTCCAGTACCCACGCCATGGCTCTCATAAAAATACCTCTGTGGCCTCCACATATTTGGAAGAAAAACTTGATGGCATCCTTTGTCAAACGAACACCAGCCTCAGAAAGTTCGCTGGCAAGCACGCTGGCATTTGGCATTGGGGGCGTCCACATGAACTTGTCAGTAATTTCGCCCGGCGTTAAACGAATTTGTCCCTGCACAGTTTCTGCTTCTGACGCTGCAGACAACAGCAATACCATCAGGCGCTGTTTCAGATAAGTGGGCGTTTTGGTTAGCATCTCGTAGAACTTCGGGCAAGCAAAAAGCAAATGGCATTCATCAAAAACAAGCACTTGATCCTGCTCGTAAATGCTTTTGATCGCCTCCATGATGTCCTCTGCCCCCACGGCTTTTCTAAACTCTCTCAACCAGTTCTCAAAAGTTAGATCCGTATGCAAGGGGGCATGGACTTGCAAATACTTGTTAGGTTGCTTCGTACAAAGATATTGTGCCAACGTAGACTTGCCGCTTGCCACACCAGCACGTAAGAAAACCACTCTTTTGTCTTCCAATGTTTGCTCCAGAATTTGAACGGTTCCATCCAACGGGATGAACACATCTGTGGCGCAGTCTGCTGGATCTGCTCCAGGAAGTTTGCGCTTGCCAGCCGCCGTGCTTGAAATCTCCGTTAGCATTGATGTCATCAGCCGCTCCACAAGAGCGCTTTTTTTCCCAGACAGAATTAAACCTCGCTTCCGCAGCTTCTCCTTCAGTTTCACCACCGTCATGAGGCCCAGTTCTGTTCTGATAGCGTCTTTTTTGTTCGAAGCTGGAATTGCGAGAGCTTGATACCGATTCGTTGCCGGAAGCCAAAAGCACAGCACGACCATCACAAGGGCAACTGCAACGCTAAGGCGTGATTGTTCGACTCGTCGACCCACCATGGCATCAAATGGACGGCTCTGAGCGCAAACCTTTCCGTGAACTTGCCGTGATGTGCCCTGTTATTCACAAACTTGCATGCTGTTCTTCCGTCCCACCTCAACTCAATTCTGAGCCTTCTTAAAGTGCTGCATTTCGAACATCGCTATTGCAAATCAAATGCACCGCAATCTAAACAGCTCTCGGACACGAGATCAAATATGAATCACATGGAACTGTGACAAAATGAGGCATGCAGGTGTGCTGAAAAACTCGAGGAAGTCGCAACTTGAACGCTGAGAAGCCCACAATGCCACAGCCGACAGTGACGGAAAGCTGTTGGTTGTCGGCGCAAGGACGTAGAGCCTTCTTCCTACAGAATCGATTCGAGGTCTATTGCTAACTTTGTGCCACATAGTTCAGTGCGCCTTTCGTTGCTGAGGCTGCACCCTGCTACACCTGAAAGTGAAGACCGTTCACCATCTGCTGTCAGTTCGAAGCACATCACCTTTAAACATGACCACATACAAGATTTGCCCCGTGCACGTCGCAAAGCTTGCCGATTCAAACCCAGAGCCCGCACAGCCAAATCACATCGCCGAAGCGCCTTCAGGGCTTTTATTTCGTGCCGCAAGCCTGCACTCGCGAACTGCGGAGAGGTGCAGGGAGCAGAGCCCCAGAACCAGTCCGAAATGCTCGAACACCGCCCCAAACCGGCTATGGCTTGACCGGGGGCGACGCCTGCCGGCCACCTCCGTCAAACCCAGTAAGACCGCTCAAAGAAACCCGCCCACGATTGGGTGGGCGCAGCGACGACGCACTCGGACGCTCGATGGCGCACTCGGCTCGGACTATGAGCTCGACGGACGACGCTCGGCTCGGACGACGCTGCGACGACGGTGACGGCGGCGGCGACACGAAGTTTGAAGGCACGGCCCTGGGTGCTGCGAGGTCAGGGTGGCAAATTCGCGGGGCAGCTGTGGGTCAAACCTACTGCAGGGACGAAGGGGGGTTAAAGTGCCCTGACCCAAAACAACCACACCCAATAACAACAACAGACGAAAACACTCAAACAAAATGGTACTGCGAAAGTCGGCGAGCCCAACGAGACTACTGCCATGAACATGCCGCCGCTCCAAGCAAAACCCTTTGCCCCCCGCCACCCAAAAGAGGGGCGAGACAAGCGAAGACAGTGAGACAAACTCCCTTCTACCAGCCCGGGCCCCCCAGAGAGACGCGGGAGACAAGCGGGACATTGAGACAAACTACTTTTTTCTGATTCTACCAGCGCGAACCCCCCAGACAGACGAGCGAGACAAGCAAGACAAGTTCTCTTTTACCAGCCCGGCCTCCCAGAAAGACGAGGGAGACAAGCGAGACATTGCGAGAACCGCTTTGTCTCGTTGTCTCGCTTGTCTCACCAGGGTCTGTCCCGCCCACAACGCCACAGCCCCGATCGGTGCTCATCAGATCCCGTCGACGATTTCGGCACCGAGTCGACAGGGAAGGTGCGATTCGGCCAAAATCGTGCTCAAATGCTAGGCGGGGGACACTCCGAAATCGGGCTCTCGCCTGTGCGTGGTCGGCTCGCAAAAACGGCCGTCGGGCCGCACCCTCCCCGGGCGGCTTCAAAATACCGAAAATTGGGGTGCGGCATGGTGTTTTAGGGGCATGCGCGTTTTTGGTGATAAATGCTGTCAATGTATAAAATGGATTTGGCGTGCCGGAACGCCACGGAGGAGCCCAGCGAAGCCAATCTCGCGCGGCTGCTGGACCTGTGGTCGGCGGACTGGAAGCACCGGGGGCGCACCCGGGCGGTGGGGCCGGGGGCGTACGAGAGATACGCCACGCTGGGGCTATTCGGGCACGGGGGGCAACGGCTTTCTCAAAAGCCGCTTTCCGAACGGCACCTGGACGTCCATAGCTGTACTCTTCAACCCGCGCATGGGGCTGCACCGTGACATTCAGAACATGGCCGGGCACTTGAATCATGCGCTTGCTCTGGGAGACTACACAGGAGGACGGGTGTGGATCGAAGATGACGAGGGGGACTCCACGGCTTGGCTGGCCGACAAGAAGGGGGAGCGAGAGCTGCGCGGGCGGTGGCTGGACATGCACGACAAGCCCGTGAGCTTCGATGCTCGCCGCTATCACATGGTGGAGCCACACGAGGGCAGCATGTGGGCACTCGCTGCTTATGTTCCGCAAGCCTATGCTCGGGCGACGGAGCAGCACCGGCAAGCGCTGAGAGAAGCGGGCTTTCCGCTGCCTCCGTAACATTGTGACCCAGTTGCGGGCCAGTTGCGGGCTTACCGTGTAAGTTCTCCAAATGACAGGAATGACAAGAATGACAAGCTCCAGCCGGCCGAGAAAAAAAATAATTAATTAAGTGTGTCATGAAGTGACACACTTCAATTTAAGTGTCTCATGAAGTGAGACACTTCGACTTCAACTTCGAAGTGAAGTTCACCAACTTCGAAGCGAAGTTCATGAACTTGGAAATGATTCACCAATTTCGATCTTCCAGGCATCGAGGCGATAATTAATTCTTTAATTATTTATTTTTTTCTCGGCCGGCTGGAGCTTGTCATTCTTGTCATTCTTGTCATTCCTTTGGCTTGTACCCGGAGGAAGTTTTAAAAAAAAACTTCGACCTTCCAGGCATCGAGGCAATAATTAATTATTTAATTATTTATTTTTTTCGAGGCGGCTGGGACTTGTCATTCTTGTCATTCTTGTCATTCCTTTGGCTTCTACCCGGAGGAAGTAAATAAAAGAGCTTTTTCGCTCTCTCTGGGGAGGGTGTTCCAGCACTCCACTCTGTGATAGCTACAAGCCTTAGTTCGAGACATAGGTCAGAATTCGATACTTTGGAGCACTGTCGATTCGCGGGCCTACGGCCCGCGGCTCCGACGATCTTAGGGGCTCTAAAGTCTTTGCAAAACGGGCTTTAGAGGAACTTTAAGGGCGCGCAACTCGCCAGCAGCTGACGAGCACTCGCCAGCAGCTTACGAGCTACTTGCTGGCAACTTACGAGCACTCGCCAGCAGCTCACGAGCGACTCTCGAACCGCAACACAGCAGCTTTCGAAGCGCAACTCAGCGACTCCTGAACCGCAACACAGCAATTCGAAGCGCAACTCAACGACTCTTGAACCGCAACACAGCAGCTTTCGAAGCGCAACTCAGCAGCTTTCGAAGCGCAACTCAGCAGCTTTCGAAGAGCAACTCAGCGACTCTTGAACCGCAACTCACGAACTACTCCCACGCCCTCCGCGCCAACAGAGCGCGCGTGAGCGCGCGTCGCTCCCCAAACAGCTCCGGAGCACGACGGCGCGCCTCCAAGCAGCTCGCGAGCCCCTTTCGCGCCCTCAAACTGCTTCCGATGCCGCGCGCGCCCGTTTTGCAAGCACTTTAGAGCCCCTAAGATCGCGAGCCCTACGGCTTCCAGCCCTCAAAATCAACATACCCTCCGAGTATCGAATTCTACCCTATGTCTCGAAACTAGCCTCGTAGCTACTACAGAGTGGAGTGCTGGAACACTCTCCCTAGAGAGAGAAGCTTCCAACTCCGGGTAGTGGCCGCCGTGCGGAGGCGACACAATGCGGCGTGCAAAAGTCCGCAGACTGGAGGGGAAGCGAGCTGCGCCCGCAATCCCAAGGAGGCATCATCAAGAGGAAGCAGAAGGCGAAACGTGCCTTTACAGAGTCCGGAGTAGGAAAACATCTGCGGATCCAAATCTCCGCGTCGAGCAGGAAGAAGTCCACGATGAAAGCCTTCCATCATGCGGGCAGCAATCGCGATTTGGAGTTGGCCAACCAAAGAGGTCGAAACCTCCGCCTTGACTCGGAGTTCGACGAACTGCAGGCCATTAAGCTCGACTACAGAGGGGGGCCACTCAAGCGAAGCCAAAATTGCTGAGCTTGTTCGACCCCACATTTGGAGCCGCGTGTGCTGCAGTTGGTCCGCACCGAAAGTGGACGTCGGCGGCACTGGTGGCCGAACACGTTCCAGGCACAGCAGCCAGAACACTTCCACCTTTGAGCTGCAGGCGGACTCATGGGACAAACAGGATCTGGTCCAAACAGGTCAATGTCGATGCTTTCTCAGGCACAGGTACCTTCTGGGAGAACTCTCAACTCCAACCTTGCACAGGCGAGGCCGTGGCGCTTCACAGCTCTCAGAAGTCCACTGACAAGAAAAACAGAGTGCGCAGCACTCGATCTTTTTCTTGAGCTAAAAACATTCGTAAGCAAAAAAAGAGACGAGACAAAACGAGTGCGGTCACTAACCTGATTCAAAAGCAGTTCTTCCATTTGAGGCAGACCGAAAAACCTGTGTTGCGGGGGCGGCAGCGGCACGGGTCTGTGTTGCGCAGAGATGTGGATTTGCTGAGCAACAAAGTCGGTTGGAGCGCCTGCTGCGAGCGATCTTTTTTTTGTCGGTTTGTGACAGCGGATGCAACCATCCTGCGCAAAGACACACGCAACCATGAAGCAAAAAAAGACCCGATTTGACGATGGAACTGACTCAGAGAGCAAAAAGAAATTGAAGCAGAGGTGCAATCTCCGAGAACAGCGAAAAGTGCAGTTCGGTCTTTTGAGGGAACGCAACCACTGGTCTAGCAACAGCAAATGCAATCAGAAGCAAGACAGAGGCAAAGAATGTTGCAAATGGATCTCTGCTAAAAGAGCAAAAACCAGATGAGCCCATGTCGTGCATGAGGGGTTTTGGAGTTAAGCACCGTGCACAAATTCCGAACCGTCAGCCACACCTCTCGATACCATAACTCTACACAGCTCAAGAAGTCCTGTTCAGATCTGGTGGAGATACCTTCCAGAAAATTCCGCCGCTCTTGTATGATCTGTTCCGGCCCACCTTCTCGATACCATAACTCTGCATGGCTTGATCTGCTCTGTTCAGAAATGCTAGAGTCACCTCTGGCAAAAATTCTCTGTCTTTGTACGATCTCAAAGCTGCACAGTTATGGGGCTGTCGGGCGACCCCATTTTAAGGCCCGCAAA